CTGTTTGTGTTTTATTTGTATTAGACCTTATTCCTTCCATCTCAGAGTGATTTCAGTACATGTTCTGTCTGATTACATTTCACTGCCTCTTCTTTCTCCCCAGCAAATATTACCATCTCACCAAAGTAATTAGAACCCTTTATAGCATGAGGCTACAATCTTCCGTTATGTTTCAACACATAAAAGTTGGATGCCATTTCCAAACTTCATTACTGTACTTGCTATCCTCCAGATTATTAAGGCAAAATTTAGAAAGTGTTAACCCCAGGTAGTAGTACTTGGTGTATGTTTTTTCTCCACAGCCTACTTGCTTTGTTTGAAATCGTTTTATTTTCTGTGGTTTATTTGCTTCCCTTTTTTATGGATGAAAATCTCACCTGGTGTTATCTTTAAAACGGGACAGCTATCCAACAGCTAGAGAGTCCAACATAACAACTACCTTCAATGTTTTACAGGGAGAGAGAAATCTGGTCTCACTTATGCTCTGAAACCATCATGACTGCAACAAGTTACATTATTTCTATTTTTAATATATCTTCTCAATGACTGGTAGAGTTACAGCCAAACATCTGTACAATATGAAAGAACTGCTTCACTAAAATTAGAACAAATTTAAGGTAAAGAATCATAGCAGTTGGCCTCAGCAAGTCACATAAATGTAAAACTTCATCCCCACTCCCCTTGGCACTCTCCCAGCCCTTCCCCATGCCAGCGAGTACCATGGTTACTTCACCATCACAATTTTGGAATGCTTATTCAGGGCTTATTCATATGATAGTAAGCAGAGCAAGACAAAACAGCTGGTCTGTAACCAAGGACACAACAAAAGTTATGTCTGGCATTAGTCTGAATGAGAGAAGAGTTTTTTGTTTTGTTTTGTTTTTTTAAGAATGAGTCACCATATACTTATGCATTTGAAACACTTCACCTGAAGCAGGAAAATTGCTGCACAACAGCTTACCTGGCATGGCTTGAAAGCTCCAGCCCATATCTCAATCCTAAATGCTCTTTCTTGAAAATACCACAGGAAAACACTGATTTGTTATAAAATAACACTTTTATGTGCATTTTCTATCTGATAATTTCAAAACGTTGCAGACATTAACACAATAGTACGAGTCTCACAAATCCCTTGGAAACTATAAAATAAACCAGGCCCATAGAAGTTGCCATTTCAGATCTGGCCAGTGTCTCACTTAATCCAGCACCCCATCTTGAACAGACAAGAATAAAACGTTAAATATAGCATGTCAACATATTAAACCCTACCATGCTGTCCCCCAAAGACAGCTGAGCACACATGAAAACAGTAACCTTGGAGCCTGCTAACTCCAGTTCAGGAAAGAAGGATAATTATACACATAGGGGTATAACTGAGGAGTCTGACAGTTTCTAGTGCAGCCTTGTTGGTTTTGGCCCAAACTCAAAGGGTCTCCATGTTTATGTATGGATTTCAGGAAAACAAACGTCATGGTTAACTACTTACAAGAGTGCTTAGGGAGAACCAAGTATCAGTATCCATAAAGATAATAGCAAATTCCCTTCATGAACCCATTTGTGTGAAACAATTAACTTTTCCCACATTCTCCCAAGCCACCATGCCTCTGTGGAAGTCGTGCAGCTCAGTCCAACCTCAGCAGTTACAAGACTCCTACACTGTAGTCCATGCTTCTGGGTTTTGGTGGCATAACAAATTTAAATGTAGACTGGAAACCTTCTTCTGCCCTCCCCCAGTGGTGTTACTTCTGTCCTGGAGGAAAACAAAACCAGAACACTGGCTTCTAGAAGGGGGCAAAAGAGGAAAGTTCATTTGTTTGTTCAGAAACCTGTTCTTATTCCAGCAATAAAGCAAACCTAATTGATTTTAAGGCAGGGAGGATGTCCCAGAAATTTCATTACTTTGCTGAATTGGCCGCTGTCTTATTAATGTTCACCAGACATACGGAGGGTGGGGTGGAAAAAGGGATAGTTGGCTGAAAAAATGTGTGCTGGACAAACAAAATGAAGGAATCTTTTGCTTAACATAGAAAAAAAATTCCTGCGTAGGAATTTTATGCTTAATCTCCCTAGGTTTGTTGCATACTCGTTCTGCCACCTGCTGCCCTGGCATTCCCCAAAGTTTCAGGAAAAGGGACTACGTCCCCAAGCTTTCCCAGAAACGAATACTGCATGACTAAGAACAAGCATCTAGCAGCTCAGTGGCCTGTCCTGTCCAGAAGATAGTATGGTTCTGGAAAACTGCTTGCTTGAATCCTCCTTAACGTATCACTTCACATTCTGAAGAATACCACCCTTGGGCCTCATGGCCCAGTACATCTCAAGAGGTGCTTTCTCTCTTGATGGGTAGGATTTCCCAGCGAGGATTAGTATGCTGGCTCTACTACCATGGAAGTCAGATGTAAGGGAAGATCCCTCCGACTGTCACCACTGCCCCAGCTCCTCCAGGGAAAGAAGGAGAGAAAGTAAAGCCAGGAAGAGCTTCTTCAGGAGGTCAAGTGACTGAAGAAAGAATGAATTCTAGTTTTGAAAGAAAAAATTGCGTCTGCTGTGCAGGTCAGAACAAAACACAGGTTATTCCTTGAACAGTATTGATTCTGCAGGGTTACAAATTGTGAAAAGCAGGGAAAACTTGTTTTTGCACTACTTTTCACCCAAATTTCCGGGACAATTGTGTGCTTTCAGTAATTTCCTGGGGCAAAATTTCACTTTAAAACTACACAGATAATCACAGGCTTCTTTTTTTTTTTTAATACAGTAATATGAGAATTTGTAAAAATGATTACTGACTTGGGAATTTTTGGACCTCCAAGTTAAGCTTCCTTGAAAAGTGCTGATTTTCAAAGTGCTGATACCCAATACCTCCTGGCAGAACCACCTTACGATGACTGAAATGTCATTTCAAGAACTGAGGCACCTTTATTCACAATTCGTTTCTGAAAGTGGGTATAAAGCAATTATGAAAGAACATATGTGTGTAGAACTATAGTAATTTAATCAATACAGTGCTGCGACAGGTAGGGTAATTCTAGATGCCTTCCTCTAACTGGAAACTGCATGTCTAGCTGAAAGATTTCTATGACTTTAAGAAAAGAGAATTTATCTAAAAAAAGGACACAGATATCAGCAACAGTAAAATACCTACAGGACATCATGGACATATCCCATTTCATTGATGGACTTCACAGACCTATCACTATTTATATCACGCTTCTGTTTCAAATTACTTTGCTTTTAATAATATATACTAATGTTTACTTTAGGGTTGTTTTTCCTCACTGTAGATTTAGTTCTTCTGCTTAACTAAAACAGAATGAGCCCATGGCTTCACATGCAAGCAACATGGTTCACCTGATAAACCCAGCTAGCAACAGAGTAAAACTCCGCTTTTTTTTAAGCAGAACATAATATATTTTTTATAATGGAATTTTAAAGGCTTGAAAACAACATTTCATATACTTGCGATCTATTACTTCTCAAACAAAATTAAGAAAAACTACATTTAATATCCGAATGTTCTTTAGGAAAACTGCTCCCTCTTTCCACCACCAGAGGAATGTTCTTAATCCTTTTTAGCTGACTTTGTGCACCATGAAGTAGCACAGAGCCCAGTTTCTGCCCTTTTCCCTTTGCCAACTCCACCTCTCATGTACCTCCAAAGCGATCCAGGAAATTTGTGAACAGCTTTGTATTTTGCACACACATGTAGAAAAGGAGAAGTCATTACAGACCAGAATAAGAAGCAGAACATAGAGAACTTATAAGAGCAGCAGCAGTAAGGGTATGTTTCTATACAACTGTGCTCGGTCTTTAGAAGTGAGTCCAGAAGATGCCTTTTCTAACTGCATTTGACGCACACAACCTGCTACCTGAGAGTCCAGAGAACTACCGCTGCTTCACAGTGCCCACTACTCACAGGAACAGAAGTGCCATCATTATAATTTTACTTCTAATGAGCAGAATAAAACAGGATGGCTTCCTCTCCTCTGGCTCTAAAGACTGCAACCTCAAAGCGAGAGACCTTGTGTTGTGGCAGTAAAACCAGGAGCACCAATTTGAATGCATGTGGGTAGTAATGCTATAGGAGTAAGATGGTACAAATTTTGTGCAGCAATTTTTCTGACAGCTCTACTTTAACGGGCAGAAAATCAATAGCATTAAGACTGAGGGTCACAGCCTTTGGAAAGAGTTACATCAATGCAAAACCAGAATAGATAAAGTCAAAGAGCTTATAACTGCAGATATCCCAAGGGACAGATGAAATCATGGGTTATGATGTTTTTAAAAACAAAAAGAAAGTTATTCCTTCAATCAAACCCCAAATGTCTTGCCTCCTAGTTTTTCACGGTTTTTTTCAAATTAAGAGGTGAAGATTGCAGTAAAAAATGCTACTATATTTCACTCAAAAGCATGAAGTCTCTTAGTGAAAGGGGTAAGCATTCTGCTTTTTGCAGGCATACTTCTGGAAAATTGGTACCACACTTACTGTTCAAAGTTAAGCTTGTTGGTGCAGGCAGCAAGCTTCCAATTGCAAACAGTAGCTGCAGAAGATAGAGCGCTCCCTGTCCTAACAGTCACAGCTGAAATTTGGCACAAAGAGTGGAAAGGATGACAGCAAAACAATCATGGCAGTGAAAGGACCAGCCTCCTACTCCTGCCCCCAAATCCCTGCGCAGGAAAGCACTTTAAGGATTACCCTTCAACTCCACAACGTGAAATATACTAAAAGCTCAAGGAACTTTTATGCCTGAGCCAACAGGCTAACGCTAGGTCCTGTGACTCAGATAAGCCCATCCTAACACAGGGAGGCACTGGAGGAATGGCCATCCCTGAAAAGCAAAGGACACTGACTGCCCCCCACCGCAAATAAGCAATTGGCTGTAGAGTGACAGGTTCTCAACACACACTGCATGACCACAGGGGCTGAAGGACACAGTTAGCCCATCTGACCAAGCATTGCTGGTGTAGCTTTATTTAAATTCTCTTTGTTGTTAAGTTCTCACCTGTCTTGTCAGCAAGTCATGATATTGTAGTATGAGCCTGGTGTTGACGCTGTGACTCCATGTGTTGCCAAGGGCTGCTGTCACACAACCAGATTCCCTCTTCCCACTTCCAGAAGCTCCTGAAGATAAATATGAAAGAAACTGCATCAGGACTGCACCACAGAGAAGGGTTCAGCATGGAACCTCTAATCAGTCATCTCAGATCATTCCCTAAGCTAGGTAATCACAATTGGTATTTAATAGATGGCACTATCGCATCTATTTCCCACCTTTCTCTTTTATTTATACAACTGCAGTGTGAGTTCTCCATCTCACCCTCTGATACCTAGACAAAGTGCCAAGAATTAAGGATACGTTGCAAAGTAGTACCTACCTTTTTGGAGAGATTGGTACATTTTCTAAATATCTGGAGGTGCATCATGCATGGGGGACACTTGCCTTTTCCTCTTTAGACGTACTATCCCCAAGCAAACCAGCTTTCTATGGGCACAGAGGAGATGAAAGCAGGCCAGCAGAGTGACAGCTTATACTGACCTAAGAAAAAGGGAAGCTAAAGGAGCAGAATGTGGTGCCACAATACCCTGATCTAAAAATCAGAATGCTGCTTCATGCCACCAGACATCCCATACATTTTCTAAGATTTGCAAAGAAGGGAGCCCCTTAGCTGTAAATACCATTCTGCTGTCTCTGAAATCATATGAACTTTATATAACCCTGAAGGAAAATGCACTTTGCTGCAATCAGCAATGACAACATAAAGAAGTGTTTCCAATAATGCCACATGATCCAGCTTGCTGAACTGCCATTGCACCCGAGCTTTCTCGTATTGAAACCAGAGACCCATACATACACACATATACATATGCAGGCAGGTAGGTGCCTGAGACCTTCATCTTTGCTTACCACAAGTTCTGTGCAAGACGAACAGCTAGATGAGTGACTTGAAGTGTCATTTGAAGTACAAACAAGAACAGAGCAAGCCAGACAAACCAAAAAAATTCAGAAACAAAATCCCAATTGTTATGTGGGTATAAATGATCACGTGCAAGTTGAAAATTGAACTGTTTGAGGCAGAGAGTCCATACTGTTAAAAAGCTATGGGTGTTGGCCTGAAGTTGAATGAGAGAAAGTTAAAGTCGTGGAACTTCCTGTCACCTATCAGGCAACAAACTAAATTGCTTCCCCAGGACAGTCATGAAATCCTTGTCAACTAAGTCAATTAAAGTTAGACCACACACTTACTCTGCAATAAAAACTTCAGAGCAGTTTTTGTTTCTGTCAAAATGATCAGTAATGCAACAGTTAATGTTGAAACTTAAATTATAAGTACTAGGAAGTACTAGGTTTTGGAAGCAATACTGTACTGAGATGACAAAGTCATCTCATGGCCCAGCGGAGCTTCTGTAAGATTCAGGTTTAAAACCCTTCATTGCTTTCACATTTGCAAGGTTGTGGGTTTTGTTACTTTTTTCCCCCAACTATTCAAGGCAGAAACATAATTTCTTCATTCACTAAAGCTTTTATTTTGGAAAAATACCCAGTAAAGGGTAAGACCAAAAGTGTTGGCATGCAGTAATAATCATTATTTGTATCATTGCCGGTAGCTTGCAAGCAATGAGAAGGACACTGTATTAGATTACATTAGGCAGAGGAGAGCAGCAGGCTGGAGAGAAGGGTCTGGAATGATTGTAGTGCGCTACAGGACTCAGTTGAAGACCTCAAACCTCCCCCCCGGGTAATACAAGGTTCAATTAACATCAACTGGATTTGGATTAGGTCTTTAAATGTTTAAGGTCTACAAAAGAAATTAGTGAAGCATCTAGTTCAAGCCAATCGTTTGACAAGAGTCTGGACTCTGTACTTGTCTGAATTACTTCCCACGCCACGGGAACTCACTGCGACACGCACAATACTCAGTTCTCCAGAACAACATCTGTTCTAGCCTGAAAACAGGCTACAGTTGTACCATCCAGCAAGGATGGCTGCTTTTCTTTCCTCCAAACAAAGGTATTAGTATCTTGATAAGCATCAAACTTCCACCTGAATAACTCACCACAGGAGCACCTAACTGGAAGTTTCAGTATTAGGAAAGCTATTCTGTTAATTAGTCTAACCCATCTCTATTGAGAAGGTGGATGTGCTGACAATAATAATTTCTCTTCATCTGTGTTTTGGATTTAATTTGCCAGCTGGAGGAGAGAACAGGTTCAAGAGTTAAAGCAGGGTACTGGTAGGTCTGTATTCCATTCCCTTAAAATGACTTAAACCAAGTTACTTACTTAAGTTCATTAAGTTCTACAAACTTTTGTTGTTGTGCTAACACCACAAAAGTAAAATGCCATTACTGTACAAACAAGCTAAGGGAGAATAAAAGACAGTGAAGCAGCTTTAAAGTTTTGCAATCCTCTCTTTGTCATGTGGAATAAGCTGCAAGTTCCTCCTGTAGTCAACATCGTCCTTCTTTCCCACCTGCTAAAAATGGGTAGGAATCACAAAATTCAAGTGAGGCAGCTAAGTGTGAGTTCTGGTGGGTGTGAAGGTGTTCCCCTCACAGCTGGTGTAACTGCACCCCTGTATGCAGCTGGAAGCCACCGCTCCACACCACCAAGAAGCAATTCACCCACCACTGCTTGGGGACCTCTGACTTACAGACAAAAAGCCCAGACATTGCAGAAGTAGCTACTGTTGGCATAAAACAGCCTCAAAATTCACATCCGAACTTCCCTCAAATTATGTTTCCCTGCTATTACCTAACAGAAGGAGTAACATCTTGCTATTGCAATCCTGAGCCGAGCATTTAAGCGGTTAAATGTCTGCAGCCTGCTGATATTACGGAGATATCACTCCATAGCAATTCCTAACTCTGCATTCCTTCCAGGCCTAAAACCTGTCCCAAAGTGAACAGAAGTGCTAGAGGTGTAAGGCTTATGGCAGAACAAGCAAGCTAATTGCTGTCATTTATTTTATTTTATTATACAGGAGAAAGCCTACTGTACCATACTGTGTCAGCCCCTGCCTGAAGAGGGCTGTTTGTGTGACCCACTTTCAGGCAAATCCTCTTCTGTGAAGTTATTCAAATTTATGACTCTGGTGCAAAGTGGTTAGTAAGCCTGGAGCAAATTTACAGCGAAGACTTTTTACAGGGTGGAAAGGAATGCCTCACAGGAAAGGTTTCCATTTTATAAGGGATCCTCCTGCAAGCTGATGCATTAGGCAGACAGAGAGGCAAACCAACAAGAAGTGAAGTAAACCGAGGGGGAAGCAGGGCCAGCTTTGCAACGAAGTTCAAGGGCAGTGAAAGCACATGCTTCATTCCTTCTCCTTGCTCTAAACACAAAAAGATAGTAAATGTCTCAGAGGAAGGAAAGAGGATATGTTAAGAAAACAGATTTATATTCAAACATGGCCTTAAAAAAACCTCGGACTTATCTTTTCTGTTATTTCAACCACTACTTAAGTCATTAATGAACTGGACAAAGGAAGTGGATAAATAATACTGTTCAAAGAGAGAGTGATATTTTTCAGCATACATTGCCTTGTTCTTCCAAACCCTGATATTTTCATACTTACAGATGGGAGTATCAGACCAACCTTGGCCCAAGAAGAAAGCAGGCTCATAAGGGACTTTGGTCTCTGCTCAAAGGTCCCCCAACTGTCCAGCCTGAACCACTTCAGAGTGGTATGGAGCAACAGCTCCCAGCTGTGACATGAAGGCGCTTATCCATGGTGTGGGGTGGATGCTTCTACAGAGCCAGCTGACAGGCAGCAGTTCCCATCTCTCCAGCCTTAGAGCACAGCTCTCACTCCAGTCACTGCTGGCGTAATGGTTTCTGCTCAAGACAAGGGTGATACAGGGAGCACAGGGACTAGGAGGAGAAGAAAACAGGGCTGACAGACAGGTGAGAGAAAGGTGGCAGATGTCAGTTTATGGATGCAATATGTAGGAAAAGGGAGTGGGTGTCCAGAAGCACCGAGAAGCACCTCCCCTAGCATGGGGAGGTGAAGATGCATGCTAGAAGGGTGGGAGAAGACCTTTGAACAACCCCCTGCTTTATATATTCAGATACAGCTCAAGTAAAATTAAGTGGTGATTTCAATTCCTGTAAACACTCCTCCTTTCCTCACACAAAAAGAACCAGCATTAAACTGATCCTCAAAGGGCGCATCAGCAGACAGGCCAAGGACTGCACGAGGTACCTGTTCTGCCGTCTCCCGTGAAATTGAGCTCTTCAGGGCACCGGCAGAGACACCAGCAGACACTGTACCTGTTCTGGATCACAAGCATAAAGGAGGAACTGGCTGCTTCACTCTCACTGAACAGCTGTCACAAGTGAAAATAAAGCTTCTTGTGGTCTGAGCCAAATGCAAAGTAAATGTCTCTCCATAACCAGGGGAAAAACAAACCAAAGAAGAAAGGGTGATTCTTCAACTGAGGCCCGCAGTGCTGCTTCCAAGCAGAAGATGAGGCTCACACTGGGCTCCACCGCCCTGGAAGGAGCTTTCAGTGGAACTGGGCCCTACTTATACACGAGGGCTGAAATAATTTTGTTTGTTTCCCCCCATCAGTGCAATTAAAACAAACCTTCCGTAAGCACCTTCCTTATCACTGAGATAAATGTCACATATAGGATGGGGAAAGTGGGTTTATTCCACCTTCCATTTTTCACTGGAGGAAACAGTAGGATTAAAGCAATTCAGCTCAGTACTGATTCTGAGATTATTATGTCCAAGCAGAGAATTACAAGTACAGACATGGTCTCAAAGACCTTCTCATCCTCTATGTATAAGGAGGTACCATCTTAAAGACTAAATCATCATGTAACCAAGTCCCAGTTGTTGCAAATATGGTGGAAGGGGATTTAATCATAAAGTAACTTCCATTTCATTAGTGTCTCATCCTATGAAAATTAGAATAACTAGACCAGCGTCTTGAATCAAATAAAACAGACTTCTTAAAACAACATTTTTAAATGCAAGGAGTCCTTGCAGGCAGAGTGTGATTATACTCTTGGTTAAAAAAAAAAACTTGTTCCTTGTTGGTATAACTGCACAGAGCAATGAATTCCACCCTTTCCACATTCTCATATAGATTTTTGTCTTTCCAGATGAAAGAGTCGTT